TTTTTTCTCTTTCTCTCTCTTTCTATTTCTCTCTTTCTCCCTCTACTTCAATCGATCGACAATAAGCTTATTGTCTCACCACGTCGTAAAGATATATTTTCTATCGTCTTTTTTGTTCTCTACAAGTCAACAAGATTAATTCAAAATTGTATATAGGCAGTATATTTCTTATAATGCTAATACATACAGTGATTTCCAAAAATATTTCGATATTGAAATATGATCAATTTTATAGTTTCATATGTCGATTGTTCATAAAGCAATCACCCTTCTTATTATTTTTATATAACAATAGGTAATTTATTAATATTGATAAATATATATAATTTATTTTCCAAATTTACGTATATTGCATAATAAGTATTATTAAATGAAATATTGTTTCATTTTTGCTTCCATAAATAATCGAATATAATGTTCATTTAATTTAATCTAATATTTAAAAAACAATTTTAATACTTCTTGGCGTAAACATTTTATTTTAGATCGTGTATTAATTAGTTTAGCATATTATTTATAATTTTTGAAAAATATCCTACTGGTATGTTTGTCTATTCATTTGCACAATTTCTTATTTTAATTCAACTATTGAAATAATTGGAAATTTCCGAGTCGTCTTATCTAATCCATCCTGTAAGTTTTTTTTAATTGGATTAAGATCCAGTAATTATAGTTGAAAATGAAGAATTTAAAGACAATTTAAAATAAATTATGTTTTTAAGTATGTTTAAATGTAAGTAAAGATTTGTATTTGAAATTCTGTTAATGAGCATTAAGTTTCCAACTTCATATGACGGAACTTATGTTAATCCGAGAATGTTACACTGTCTTCTACAAATTTTATTGTATTTTAATTTAATATATATTGTTATGGTTAATCATATTTTATTGTGCAATATATGCAAATTGTTCAAATAGATAAATATATTTTAACCAAGCTTAATAAATGACCAATTTTATTAAAATCAATAAACAGGACGATTTATAAACAACCGAAATATAAAGTACAAAACTTACATTGTATTGTACAAATATTTTTAAGAATAATTGTAAAAAAGTTTATAAATCGTGGATTATATATCACAACTTGATAATAAAAAAATAAAAAAAATAAAAATAAGCAGAGAAAAGAAAAAAACCAAATATATCTTTAACCTTTTGAAGAATAAAAATTGTTCTTTCTCAACGAGAAACATAAACGACACATTGAAAGAGAATAGAATAAAAGAATGCATTCAATTGCATGTATCATATCGAAATTCAAAAGTGTGACATTTCAGTACAGGCTTTCGATTAAGCGTGTTTGCCTTTCAACGGGGGAAACTCGAAAAAACATGCGAAACTCGTCGTCCCATCACTTTTCGTCTGACAATGTTATCGAAAGTACTCTCCGACTAGACGATGTAAAAGCATATAAAAGGTATCTCAAAAGTTGCTTCACAGAGAAAAGAAAAAATCGAACAAACAAATTTGATATTGATTCGTTAACTCATTTGTATTATTAAGAAGAATGAAAAATAAAGTAGTATTTATCATCAAATTTCATGTAACGCTCAATTCTATCTTGTGATAAAAAGCAATAAAATTGAACGTATATATTGAATTCATTAAAAATTATTATTATTAATTAATTTAATAATTAAAAAATTAAGCATAATTCTAATTCTCAATTCAACTCACTCGTAATACTTTATAAAATGAATTATTTTCACAAGATTGCTGAAATTTTTACTTAGAATGCCAATAATATATAAAACAGTGCTGAAAATAAGAGTTGATGAGATTATTTCGGTGAAACAAAAATTTTAATATTTTATAAATATTCTGTAAGTTTTTTTTCTTTGTTTTCTTATTTTATTGTGTGGTTTCTAGTAAAATCAATTTATGTTTTTTAGATTAGTCACGAAAATAAATGACCCGGCAATATATCTCCTCTATTTATTTCGAAAAGTTCTAAGTGGTTAAATAATTTTAACTGATAGTGTATTTCTTGCTCTTAAAGAAATACGTATATATCTCCTATGTGTGTATGTGTGTATGTGTGCGTATGGATTCTCGCGAAGTGTAACATTGTATGCACGCGTTTATTACAACGGCTCAACATGGAGGAGGTAATTCGATCAACTATGAAGTTCGTTTTAAACTCGCGCGAGCTTTTAATAATTCATCATAATTCAGACGACGTATTGTAGAAATTTTGTCTCGTTTTTTTCATTTTTTGATGTTTAGTTAAACATAATTCCTGATAGATAAATTTAATTAATAGATAAATTTAATTAAGACTATATCAAAGAACTGGTTTGATATTTTTTTGTATTAAAATTTTACACTCAATTTTATTAGTTTTTTGTTTCAAATGCTTTTATATTTTACGATTATAATTATAAATATTGATTTTATTGTTTTCTAAACAAAAAATCTATTTTATTTATTATTCAAACGAATATATAATAAATTATTATTTGCATTAAATTATGAAAAACATAATTTTTTACTTTTCTTCGTTGAATTTTACTTTCCAATTATGATTACAAATATTAATTTAATATTTAAAAAAAAAAAATAGTTTATATATTATTCAGTATAAAATTAATTATTATTTTGATATAATTATAGAACATTAAATTTGTGGCTTCCGATAATTAGATTTCTATTATACAACTATAATTATAATTATTGTTTTATTTGGTGAGAAAAAGAAAATATAAAAAATAAAAAAAAATTGCGTTCATGATCAAAACCATTACGAAGTTAATTATTATTTACATTTTTAATTAAAAAAAAAATAATATCTTTTTTATTGAAGACTTATCATTCGATTAGTTACAGTATAACATAGTTATACATAAACTGTTGGTAAATTTAGTGTTAAGATATTCTTACTTCCGCGATTACATTGCAACATAGTTAATAATATAAATGCAATTTCTATATACATATACGACTATTAATATAATCTTCCTATGCAATTTCTAGCTATGATTCCAACGATTTCGTGATAAAGTCTTGTATATTAATGATGATGCAATAATACCCAGATGATAAATCTAACCAACCATGATGCAATTTATTAATCTTTAGTCCAGAGGATATAAAATATTCATTATCATTCGTGCGTTTCGTTTAAAAGGGTGAAAAATTTCATCATTCGCGTTATAATGATGATAATAAAATCATTTATAATATTGGCACACCATTATACAATGATACAAATGTGTACAGAGTATAATACATGTGGCTTGTTGCACGAAGATCGTATATAATTAGAAAAAGAGAACACATTAGGCTAAGTTAAGATATTCTGGGAATTCAGTGCCGTGTTTTGAAATTCTTGGCCCGTTTCGACGCGTGGCGAATTCGCTCCTTATATAATTTTTATATTATATTCATTGTTAACTTACGCCACTCTGTGCTGTACGATTTTAATTCATACGCAAGCAAACAGATTTCTAGAATACTCTCAATGCATATATATGTATATATATATTAGGATGAAACAAAAGTTCGTGCGTTTTTAAAATCAATATTTCCAAAGTAAATTTTACAAAAAAAAATCCATTATGCAGTTTGTAACACAATAAACGCACGAACTTTTGGTTCATCCTAATACATACATATATATATTTATAATTCATTATAATTTTATGTTTACAATAGCGTTTATTTTTCCACAAAGAAGTTTAATTGGTCGAATGTAACCTCCGTTATCGTAAACCGATAACAACGCAATCGCATAAGGAAATGAAGAAATAGATTTCGACCGAGGAAAACATTTGTAACAACGCAAAAAAAAAAAAATGTTTAATAAACCGATTCCATCTATATTTTTGTTGCATTTATTTTCTTTTAATTTGCAAATCGAAAGGGTCAGTTGGTCGTGGTCAAAAGGGTCGTGACCTATAACGTTTACATACGAATCGAAAAATATACATAATCTCGTATACGTCGATATTAACCAAATGGTTGATATTGTTGTATAAAAAGTATATTTTTGTATTAAGACTCTGACATACTTGATTACATCTGACAAGTCAGATAAGTTTGATGTTTATGTTTCCTTTTACAACACAACACCCTTCCTCATCTGTCTGTCCCTTGTCTTCTCGTTATGTTTGCCATATATTTTTTGTTCATTGCAATTCCGGGGTAATTATCACGATACGAAGAAAAAGAAGAAGAAGGAGACGATGAGAGGCTCGATAACATAATTCCTTTCTTGATCTTGAGATCCACGATCATCTGTGACGTAAGAGCACTGAAACAGCTTGAGGCATGCTAGTGACCTTGAATTTTCCTCGCGTGCCAAGATTACGTCCATTACGTTCGAGTCTCAAACAATTATACATAGCTACTTCTTCTTCTTCTTCTTCTTCTTCTTTTTCTTCTTCTTCTTCTCCTTCATTTCCTCTTCAGTAGTAATGCTTTTTCTAACGATTCTTTTTTGTTTTTTAATTTTTTATAATTATGAAATTATGAAAAAAAGAAGAGTTATCATAATTTTCTTTCTTCGCTGTATTTAAAATTTTCATTGAAATATGTAGTACATCATGAATTCAATCTATTCGTATCTTGAGTATTAGATTCATAATTAGGGTAAATTTAGGGGTAATTTTACGATTGTAACAATTTTAATCAAATAATGGTACGAACGAATTTTTAATATTAAACAACGAAATATTCCAACAACGAAGATGAACAAATAAATTCACTTAAGGAATATTAAATAAAAAATGCACTCAACAAAATCTCTTATATTTGTCTGAAATATTTTACTTGTCTCTAATTATTATCACAACTTAAATGAACAAATATGTGAGTTTTTTTAAAGTTACGTATGTACTATATTATACTATCAGATTCATGTAATGTTACACAATCGTCCCGAGTATTATAAATAATTCGAGAATTTGTATAAAACTTTAACATACTTATATATACAATTGACACATCTTAAATTCTTATGTAATAATAATATAATTGTAATTTTTGTTTTGTTTTAGATGTCGATCTTCAGCATCAAATCGAATTATCTATGGAAATGCCAGCTACTTATCAAACTCTTGTTGCACGTGCTCAACTTGCTCAACAATGTTGCGCACTGGCACGCGAACAAACGAGAATTTGTGAGAAACTGGTTCACGATCAACATCTCCAGCAACAGGGTTGGTTTGCGGTTGTTGCCAATCTTGAGGATATTATAAAGATGTTTCAAACAAGAACCGAACTATTGCAACAAAGCTTCGATGTTTACCTTGCCGAAAGGCAACAACAAATGCAGCTTCTGAATAAGTGAGTTAACTTATAACTTAAAATGCTAATATATACGTTGATAGAAACACTAATTATTAACACTGAAACTCTATTCGATAAAACGAAAGAACAAATAAGTTGCAAATAAGCGTTAAACAAAAACTAAATATATGCTCACTGATCTAGAATATTTCATAATAACTGACACATAATCGTTCGTGATTAAATTTTTGGGCGGATCAACGATTCTAAGTATTTCGAATCGATTTTAAATCAAATTAATGAAATAAGGAAAAAGCTTTAAAAGAGGAATTAATTTAGGGAATGCATGATTTCATTCGGTTAATAAATTACACGGTTCGCGGATGTTGTCTAGACGTTTAAAAATTACTATTTACAGAAACATTATTTAACCTTTAATTCTTTATAACAACGGAGCATGATTACTTGATGTTACAAGATAAGAAAACATTTAAAATATTCGAAAATAAAGTAAAGTACTCGAAAGTGTTATGGCTCACCTACAGATTGCTTTAAGGTTTTGGATTAAATCCACAATATTTTTGCAAAACATTTTTGTCTAGTTATTTATCTTTCAGAAACAAATAGAAACGAGGTAAAAGGGTCGCGAATTAAATCTTGTTCAGGGATGGAAACATTGATGAGATTTGATATTTGTAGCAATGAGTTTTTGAGTTCCTAACACCATCTAATAATAATAATAATAATAATAATGTACGCGGATTTAACAAGGATATTATTTTGAAAATAAAAACTTTGAATGTTGATATAGCTTCCAGCAGGATTTGGAAACTTTGGCAAAAATTCCAATATTACCTGCGTTAAGGGCTCACGCGGAAGGTCTTTTGAGTCCGGATGATCAAGAAGATAACTCAGAGCAGCAGTCAGAGAAGAATGAGGGAGTTTTGAGTCTACTTCGATGGATCTCAGCGAAGGACAATCAGAGTAGTTTGGAACAAGTGGCAGAGCAATGTAGTCGGGGTTTGGAGCAGTTCGATGAAAAGGCGATGGCGTTGTTAAAGGCTGACGTAACTACAGCTATTACGAATTCGAACAAAACAGATATGAAAGAAATAAAGGGTCTTGGCGAGAGGCTTTTTGCTTTGGAAAACCTCCTAGCACAATCGAGGAGATTTGTGCTCGATCAAAGCGAGCTCGCTCAAGGATTTCTTCAAAATGAAAAACGCGCGAGTCATATCGGTGATGCAAGCGTATTACCTGATCTCTGCACGTCGCATAGAAATCAACTAGCAGTTATGCTTAGTAATCATAATCAATTACGTGACATTAGGCGCAGGTGTACCAAAGCAAAAGAAGAATTGTCCGGTAATATCCATGTACGTTTAAAATGGGTTATGTACGTGGAGAATAAAATGATGGAGGTTGATAGTAAACTTGTGATGTATCACGAAAGTCTGAAACGTTTAAGACGTCATCTCGAAGTATTACAACAAATTCATTTGGCACCTCAAATGTATATGAATGCTGTCGCCGAGGTTGTCAGAAGGCGAACCTTCTCCCAATCCTTTCTTGTATGGGCCAGTAATCTTGCTTGCCAGTTGTTGACCGCACATACAGAAGAACTGGCTCGTAGGCGCGAGTTCCAAAATAAATTCGAAGGTCATTTCTTGAACACGCTATTTCCTGGTTTAGATGACACGCCACCGCCCTTTGCAACTGAAGCACCCTCGGTTTTTGACAACGGATTACCAAAGGTAACATTCGTATAAAATTTATTTTTATAGCAGAAAAATATAAGACAATGTTACTATGGTTAACATCGTTTCAGTTAACTGCGAGCGATATGGAGTCGTTAAGATCACAATTGCCTGGTTTAGCACTTAGTATATCTATGCCAGATTTAAACAGTATAACGCAATTCTTTTTATCCAAAAATTTGACCGAAGCAAGCACGGAAGGAAACCAAGACAAAAAAATTATGTCGACCCGCGTAGAGGATTCTTCTAAAGAGCAAGACCGTATTAGAGCACCTGCGCTGGGTGACAGGTAAATATATAACACTTTAATATCTGTTTCGAGTCAAGACTTAGGTTGCAAGATTATGAATATATTTGCACTATTTCAGGGGTGGATTTGAGTCGGAAACGGATACGGAAGAGTTCGAGAAAATAGGTCAAGGCGCGACAGATTCTAAACCTAGTTCCTTCGATGGTACCCAACAGAAAAAGCAGAAACAATTGGAGGTTGGTGCCTCGCGAAGCGTGTCCCCTGCTTCCTCCAGCTCGACTAACGTCTCACCATTAAACACGAAGATCGCAGACCTAACAAGTCGATTTTATATATCGAACGAACCTAGTTCCTTCCATTTTCCTAGTCTTACCGTCAGCGAACGACCCACTCAGCTAAGTCCTCTCACCGAGTGCGCGGAAAACGGTGAATCTTCTTCCAGTCAGTTGCAAAGTGCTGCTGCTGCTGCTGCTGCTGCTGCTACATATGGGTACCCAAAGCATCGCCAAATAACTCCGTCCGTATCCTCTGACAAGATCGAGGCATCTAATTCCTTAAGTCCGAATCCTCCTACCTTACCTCCTCACCCCGTGGTGTGCGACGGTCAGCAACAGCAACTACAGTCATATCAGCTCTCTGGTAGCGGAGCTAGCAGCCCTTCCATCGGAGTTGGTGCTACCGACTTCATGGGTACCGAGTTTTACATGGACGATTCTTTGCCGAGCAGCCTCAGCGAACCTCCCGGCGACGGGCACCAGGCTGTCGTTTCCTTTCTTCAGGTACGGGACGACTTACAACTCGCAAAAAGACTTTGTAGTCGTAGCCGTAAACGTTTCATTACCCTCCTAGAAATCTTGAATTTGCACTCACCTGGGTTATTACGTAATCAAATTAAACTGTGCTACATTTTTCTTTTTTCCATGCTTTTTTTTTTTATTAATCATATATGTACAGTAATATTTTTAAGTATATGTAATGCAATCATTGTTATAATTTCTATGTTTTATTGAAATTTGAATTTGCTTTTAATCGATGAATGTGTATGTATGTCTGTCTGTCTGTCTGTGTCATGTATGTATCTTGAAGAAATAGTAATGGTCGGATATCTATGCGTGGGTTCGTGTATCTTTTCAATTTTTCAGGATAGCTGCCGTCGCACTCTCGTGTCCTAACTCCTTACCTTGTTCAAAACATTGAATATATATACATATATACATATACATATACATACACATATACATACACATATACATATATATATATATATTCAGAGATCAAAAATACGGTTGCTTTTCATATAAACGACATTTGTTATAATAACAACTCTATCAGTGAAACCAAATAAATTTTCACTCATCATAACATTAGACTTTTTCCTCCAAAACAAATCCTCTCCTTGACTAACGAATTAATAGAGAACTCTTACGTTTATTTTAAAATAATTACATTTATACATCTATATATATATATATATATATATATATATATATATTTAATTGGGTATTATGGATTCTTTATGTGGGAAAGTAATATGAATTTGTGCTAAAATATAGATCGGATTTTCCATGAAATCAATTATTTCAGGAAAGTCTTGGAAACGCACGCGAAGAGGTGGAAAGATTGCGTTCGATTTTGAGAAGTATGAAAGTGGTCGTAAACGAAGCCTTAACTTCCGTTCGAGAAGAGTTAACAGTTTTACGAAATCGATCAGATTTTGATAACAGTGGTCTTACTGAATTGACCGAACGTATTCGCGAAGCTTTAACATTGTACTCGAATGAATGCGATCATCGTTTGCAAGAACGCGAGCAAGAATTAAACGTTAACCACGAGCTGGAAATAGGTGATATGAAAAAAATAATGCAAAGCCGAGACGAAGAGATACGTATTGTAAAAAGGAAACTCTTGGAGAAGGAAACCGAGTTAGCTGAACACGAACGTTTGATTAGTACAATGCGTCAAAAATTGGATACCGAACAAACTGACTTGAGGAACTTGCAATCACGGTATCATCAACAAATGGATGAGACTTTGGAACAGGCTCGTATCGACAAGGAAACGGCTGTTGAAAAGGTAAATGATGAGAAGTATGTAAAAATAGCTTCTCTTACCAATTCCTTAAATCAATGTCAGAAACGTATAAAAGAACTCGAAGATAGTTTGACCTCTGCTCGTGTGGAACAACACAGAATGGTGAAGGAAGCAACGGAAAAATTAGAATTGGAGTATAAAACGGAATTAGATTCTATAAGAACCCGTTTAAAATTAACCGCGGGTAATACTATGGAAAGGAGTCCTAGTGATTCCAGTTTGGAAAAGATAGAGGTAATTTCATTATTTATATAAGTATCATCCATTTGGTCACGCTTTATCGTTATTATTTTTCAGCGGCCTGATTTTATCGAATTTGTTAATCACGAAGCTATATTAGCAAAAGCAAAGGAAGAAATGAAATTAGAAAATGCAGCGGCAATCCGTAATGCGATTGAAAAAGAACGTGCCGATTGCGAGGCTAAATTAGATCACGAACTTTTAATGGCCAGACAAATAATAAAAGGAAGGGAAAGAGACTACGAGTTACTAAGGCAAAGGTGTAGAAATTTGTCAGACGAATATGAATGGCGGAAAGATACAATTAAACAATTAGCCAAATCTAAAAATGTATCTAGGCATGTGCTCAATGAAAAGGTAATAAATAAAGATCCTAAATCGATTCTATTATTTTAGATAAAAATCAATACTTAACAAATTAATCGATATATCATTTCATCCAAAAATAGGTAGAAAATTTAGTAGAAGCCGATAAGAAAAGTCGTGATCAAAAAGAGAAGGTAGTTCTTTTAATGGATTCAACATCACGAAAGGAATTCGATGAAGATTGTTTGGATATGAGTCAAAGTAATTTAGGAGAAGCTATGAAAAGTTTGGAAAGTGATAAAGATGAAGCTGAAGCATCGGAATCAAAAAAAGTGCGTTTGGAAGCTGACGATGAACATTCTCGCTTATCAAGAAGACTCGAGATTCTTGAAAATGACAATAAAAGATTGTCCGCAGAATTAAAAATGATAAGAGAAAGTAAAGTAGTCTCAGATGCTAAAATCGAAGCATTGGAAGCCGATAAGGTTCGCTTGGAAATCGAATTAGTTAAGGAACGCAGTAGAAGAGATTTTGCTGAGTCATCGTCCTCCTCCTCCGATGTTCGTGAAAAAGATATGAACACATCCGTTGCCATTGTTTCTGGATCGTCATCTAGTCGTGATGCTGCGACCAGTCCAGATGGGGCCGTACCTTACTTTTACTTGTTGCACCTGTGTAAGAAGAAAAACATTCCGAAATTAATTCAACAGGGACGTATTACGGTAGCCACGTGTAATCCCGGTGACACGGTTCTTGTTGTTTGGGATCCGGTTCATTGGAGTTATGCGTTGCTTCAGGAATCCTCGACTCTTTATTTTGTAAATTCAGATTGCCTAGAATCTCTTGGATTTACTGTCGATGGAACTCCGAAAATATTCGAAGCTATCGCTGAAGTTATCAATAAGGAATACTGCATAGCAAGAAAGGTAAACAAATTTTTGTATAAGATTTCATGATTCATTTAACAATTATAATGCATTTATTTGAAATTTATCTATTCTAAGATAAAAAATAACAATTTTAATAATCTAGAAAATAGATTAAAAACTGTGGAAAAAATTTGTTATGTTTTATAAATTATATATTAATAGAACATTTTATTTATTTTAGTCAACCAATCGTTACCGTGTATCCCAAGGCACTAAGTTCTACCAAGTGCGTATAAGGCCAGTGGAAGATGTTATTGAGAAAACTAAATCTCAGATGTCGAAAGGCAATACAGAATAATTTCAATTTAACGCATCCTTTGGTCCTCAGTTTTTAACAACACTGTGGTTATGGATACAGTACAACCAGATGTGGTGCGTTACATGTCTAATGAATAGAAGAAGGAAAGCAAGATAATAAACTCTTCAACTATGTCTGCGAAAACTTAAATCAAGATTTAAATTTATCAGAGTCTCAAGGATATACCCTCATCGTTTGCGAACATATAGATACATATATATATACATGCAAGAATAAGTGAATGTGATAATAATGAAAAAAAGGAAGAGAAAAAAGAAAAAAAAAAAATTATTACAATATGAATGGATGCGCATTGGAGTTTCACTGTGATATAAATAATTTTTAAATAAGTGAAACATAATTGCTAAATGCTGTGGTGGGTGGTGAATTAGCTATGAAATGTCACAACATTTAAATATTTTTCTCTGTCCCTAAACTGTCCCACAATGAATTATTTTCTTGTTTAATTTGTTTGTTTGTTTGTCTTCTTCTTTATTTTCTTCATTTCTTTATTATCTTCGTAAACATAATAAATAGCAAAAGAAGAAGAAGAAGAAGATAGCATATTATATTAATGTCATCGATAACGATCTTCTGTAATTTGACGATATAGGAAGAAAAGTTAAATTAGAACTTAAAACTTTAGTAAAAAAAAATAACAAAAACAAAAAAAAAACAAGAAATACAACAACAAAAATGAAACAAATATCGATGCGGATATAAGTGAAAAAGCGAGAGTTGTATTAGTGTTCGGTAATTTCGCTTTGAAACTTCCGCATTCGAATGATTAAATTATCTTTGCACTATGGGAAAAGTTTAGTTGTAAGTTTTACAAAGACGACATTTTGTATATATAGTTTATATTATATACATTATCGCATTACATAATTTATATATATATATATGCACACATTCATATATATACATATAGAAAATATACATATTATATATATTATATATAAATGTATATTTATATTTATAATAATATATGTATAATAATGTATGCATGTATGTATGTATGTATGTACGTATGCATATATACATCTATTCATGTATATATACATATATCGTTGTACGAAGCGTGCAATATTTGCATATGAAAACATCGTAGTAGGTCCTAAGAGACAACAGGAAAGAAAAATTTTGTAAACAAAAATAATCCTCTCGTAAATGTGTTACACACAATGCAATTTCGTAATCTTCTCTTCATAAAGATTTTCGTAACTCTTTACGTATAAGATGACCTATTAGTCGTTCTTTTAATTCTTTTTTTTTAATTCTTTTTTTTTTTATTATTCCCCCCGATCTCTTTCGATAACCGGCCTGTTTCGCGAATTTTTCATCGCGAAAAGTTTACCATTGCTTCTTTTAAACAGAAGAAAAGAATTAATTATCATGAAACATTATAATTATATCGTCGACTATGTCTCACAATCGTATATCCTTAGGTTTATTTAAAAGAGAACAAAAAAAAGATAGAAAGGAAAACTCGAGGAAGAAGATAATTTAACTTAAACAACGCGCGAGAGTTTTTTGCAACTTTTTTCTGAATTTTTCTGATAACGAAAGCAAAAAAAGTGGAAACGGAGAAAAAAAGAAGGAAAAAAAGGAAACCAGAAAATACTAGGAAGAAAAAAAAAAGAAACAAAACTATTGTGCGTAATGGAATGAATTTTATAAATATATATATACATATATATCTATATATATATATATATATATATATATATATATGTGTATATATACACACACACATACACACGTACATTCGCGTATATTTTTTTCTATTAATCTGATCGGTGTCCATGCGATCGAGGTCATTTACCTTATATGATAATGATAATGGTAATGATAATAATAATAATAATAATAATAATAATAATAATAATAATAATAATAATATTAATAATTAAAAAGATAGAAGATAATTGCAAAATGAAATTTAAGTCTCTTAGAGGAAAAAGAACCGGAATTTCACTTGGCAACTCGTATAGATATACACATATATGTATTTTTTTTTATTAATTATAATTATCCTATCGTTACTTACCTGCCGTCGATTATAATATTTGTTTGTCCGTGTACACATTTAAAAAAAGATAATATTCTTGGTAGTATCGTTGCAGTAGCTGTGATCGTTAGTTTCTCAAAATATTTTCACTTCTACTTACTTATTCTTATTATTAATTAATTAAACGTTAATTCCAATTGTCAGAAATAAAGAAAAAAAAAAACAATAAAATAAAATAGAATAACATAATTGATCGTTCGAGTGCGTTGTTTTTTCCTTACAATTAGATTTAAAAGAAAAGAAAAAAAGAAAAAACGAGAAAAGGAAACGAAACGAAGTAAGATACAAATTTTCTTTTTTTCTTTTTTTTTTTTGTGAAAGAGGAAAGAACCAATAAACGCATTCGAACGCATCGGGGGGAGGGAGGTGTTCTTCGCGTATGTAAACATATAAATATATATAAGCGAGGAATCATTTTTTTTTTCTTAAATCGAAGCAAACGTGGATGTAGAAAATGAATGAAATATGTTTATAAAAATGTGCTAAGGATTTCAGAAAGACGCCGTTCGTCCTAAAGTCGTAGGTTCGAATTTGTAATCTAGAAAAACGATTTGCCCACTTCGATTTTTAGCGCATTGATGATGATAATGATAGCTCCATAATCACTCTCTCGACTCGTCAAGAAGAAATAAATAAATAAATTAATTAATTAATTAATTAAAAACAAACAAACAAACATATTCGTGCTCGCGCATGAATAATGCTTATTCTTAAATAAATGGAATAGCATAGCAGGAATTTAGTATGAATTTCGTTGAGGAGCAATGGATGACCTATATTTCTCTCTTCTTTCACTATTCTTTCATTATCTATTTCACACATTTTCTATTATGTTATATTATATTATATATATCTATCTCACCGTCACTCTCTTAGTCTCTTCAACGAATCGTTATAAAATAAAATAATATTTTTCCTCTCTTATTCTCGTCGTAGCTGATGGATATTCGACAACGAGGCTTTGTTATATATATTATTTTGCTTTTATTTAAAAAAAAAAAAAAAAAAAAAGAAACAATCTATCATTAATTATAATATCGATGTTGCACGAGAATATATTATAAATTATAGTCGATTCACGTGCACGCGATCTACGGTTCCTATTAGCCCTATTTTTTCGATCTGTTAAAACATGCAAAGAAAATATAAAAAGAAAAAAAATTAATTGAAAGAAAGAAAGATAGAAAAAGGACAACCGTTCGCTCGGCTTTTATTATTGAAATAATATTAACAATATAATAATAATAATAATAATAATAATAATAACAATATAAATTAATAAATAAATAATAATATTTAATATTAACAAGAACCTCCAACAAGTAGAAAATACGCAGACACGCACGTTATCATACACCGTCTCTCCTCATCTATGTTTAAATAATATATTAACTTTCCGAAAGAATCTAACTCGCTGATATATATACGGGCTAAGGTTTATTCAAAAGGCTAGGTAATATTTTAAGGCTTGAAGGAAGAGATCTCTGCTAATTTAGCTTAGATCCGTTTAGATGTCAATGATATACATCTGACGATGATAAGCTTAATTACGAATTAATTGAATAAAGGGGCAAAATAGTGGTGGGACGGGGAGAATGATGATGATGATGATGATGATGATGATCGAAGAGCAGATATTTCATTGTTCCGTTAGTTTCCGTTTCAATTTCTGCTAATCTTCTTATTGCGTTCTTTTAAATGGATCTCATCGAAACAGTATATGTCAAACTATAGGATTCATTGTATTCTGTTGATTATATTATTTGTAACTATAGCAAGAGATATGTTTATTTAATAAGAGGATTGCACTTCGACGATTGCAATTAAATATGTGTTGATCATCAAGGCCATTTGTTTGTTTGGTTTTTTTTGCTGGTCCACAATATTTATTTGAAGACGTATTTAACCTCCATTATTACGGAATCATCGTTAGATCAATTTATAGCACTGTGCGAAACTTTCGTTGCAAGCACGCACACATATTACACACACACACACACACACACACTTTGGAAAACGTTTAATCGCAACGTCGTTGACGGTCACTCGTCGTTGCGCTTTGCGTTTCCATCGTAGAATGAATGAATTAATTTTTAAAAATAATCATCATTTTTAATGCACTACAACAACCGCTTTGTGAAAAAATTGTTGAAAAAAAGCGATGTCGAAGAGAATGAATCTTATTGGATAATAACGTAAACTCTTCTCGATGTTATTTATTTATTACTAGTAGACATTATTATTTTTTTTGTTCTTTCTTTCTCTCTTTCTTTATTTTTTTCTTCGAAAAGAAATTTCGACCCCGCTTCGACTTTTCTTTTTTTTTTTTATTTATTTATTTTCTTTTTGTTTAATTTTATCGACGCGTTAGCTCGCTAAACAAACGAATATTTCCAATGGAAATTATAGGTAATGAATTTGAACGAATCGGAAAAATTTAGTTACGAATGAATGAGAAAAACAAATAATGTTTTTGTTTGTTTGTTTGTTTGCTTGCTTTTCGAAGATACATCGATATTTTCATTGTGAGGAGAATTACGAACGTTTGATAGCACGCTTTTGTATTTTTATTTTCTCCTTCTTTCTATTATTATTATTATTAATAATGTTATTATTATTACTACTATTATTTTCTTTACTTCAATTCCAACGTTCGTAATTCTGCTACCATTAATTTTCTTGATAAATTTTTGATCGCGAACTCGTCGAGAAAATGATGACTTCTTTAATTAAAGTCATGTTAATCAAATTTTGAATATCGTAGTAACGTGTCCGTAACGAGCACGTAAATGCACGAGTATTACTTTACCGATAAGAAAAGAAAAGAAAAGAAAAAAAAAAAGGAAAATAAAAAAAGGTAGAATTATTTCCTAAATTGTCGAGAGAGAGACAACGACTCGTGTGCCTGATCAAAAATGGCCGATCGATCGAGTTTAATTAATCAGCAAGAAAAAAATAAATAAAAAATAAATAAAATAAAATAAAAAATAAACGTGTTACGAGCGCGATCATTATTCAACGTTGTGGACCATTTAAACGAGGATAAAATTAAAACGAAAAAAAAAGATAATTAAAAATAAAAAATAAGGAGGAGGGATGGGGGTGGGGGGGGGAAATACGAGAGACGATAATAAATCAGAATAATATTATATTGTCCTTGTCGTTAAATATACGATACACTCTCGTAATAAAATGGGAAAAAAAATATATATAAAATACACGGAGGAAAAAGTTTTGTGAATCTTCTTTCCAACCTATATA